CAATTTACAATTAAAAATCACTATTCAAGCTATCAGCCATGTTTAATTTCCACAATATAAAGACAGACACCTGCCCATGGCTACAGTTAATAAACTTGTCCACCTTTAGAGAATAATTGTTCCCAGCACATGAATTACTCTCCTATGACATACTGGATTTGTATATAACAGTTGTTTTTTCCATATTTTCACCCACTTTGATGCAATTTACAATTAAAAATCACTATTCAAGCTGTCGGCCATGTTTAATTTCCACAATATATAGACAGACACCTGTCCATGGCTACAGTTAATAAATGTGTCCACCTTTAGAGAATAATTGTTCCCAGCACATGAATTACTCTCCTATGACATACTGGATTTGTATATAACAGTTGTTTTTTCCATATTTTCACCCTCTTTGATGCAATTTACAATTAAAAAGTCACTATTCAAGCTGTCGGCCATGTTTAATTTCCACAATATAAAGGCAGACACCTGTCCATGTCTACAATTTATAAACTTGTCCATTTTCAGAGAACAATTGTACCTAACACATGAATTACTTTCCTATGACATACTGGTTTTGTGTTTATTATATAAAAAAGATGTGGTATGATTGCCAATGAGAACACTCCACAAGAGACCAAAAGACACTGAAATTAACAACTATAGGTCCCCCTACGGTCTTCAACAATGAGCAAAACCATACTGCATAGTCAGCTATATTAAAAAGGCCCTAAAATGATAATGTAAAACAATTCAAACGAGAAAACTAACGGCCTAATTTATGTACAAAAAAATTAACGAAAAACAAATATGTAACATCAACAAACGACAACCACTGAATTACAGGCTTCTGACTTGGGACAGGCACATAAATACAGAATATAGCGGGGTTAAACATGTAAGCAGGGTCCAAACCCCCCCCCCCCCCCCCCCCCCCCCCCTAACCTGGGACAATAGTGTAACTGTACAACATAAGTTGTTTTTTTCATTATTTCACCCATTTTGATGCAATTAAATGCTGCGGGCCATAAAGATCCCTGTACTAGTCCCTGACTTGACCTATTGATCCTATCATATTTTATATTGTAACATAAAATAATGAAAATTATCCATGTTATCCCCCACAATACTCAATATTCTAATCAGAGAATCCTACTACATCACGAAAAATGTGAGAATGTTTCATGAATCTTTGAAATAATGATTATTTTATGTAAATTATCTGTTTAAATATATAAAAAAGAAGATGTAGTATATATGTGATTGCCAACAACTCTTCAAAAGAGACCAAATGACACAGAAATTAACAACTATACATGCTACAGGTCACCATACTGCACAGTACTCAGTTTTTAAAAGCCCTGAAATGACAAACGTTACAGAATTCCAACGAGAAAATTAGGTGTGAAATGCTGCTGCATTGAAGAATTCTCAGGTCATTAAAAGTTGTATTTATACATGTACTGGTCAGAATACAAGCACGAAGCATAAACATATTATTTTTACTTAACGACAGATACTTCTATATTATGTAAGCAAGTGTTATACTAAATAAAGATATATAGATATATATATCTTGTATCATGAACCTACATGTATAATGCTGTTCATTCTTAACAATTACTGATAAGTAAAATATTTTTCCTGTGCCATTTGATACTCTAAATATATTTACATGTAAGTTATGTCTAATCCAGGGAGGGGGGATGAGGGTTGTCAGTGGGTTGGAAATCCCCCTTATTTTGGACAATCAATGCATTTGAATGGGGACTGATGGTTGGAACCCACCTCCATCCTGGGTTGGGAACCCAACTGGCTTTTAAAAATGGCTGGATCTGCCCCTGTTATGACACTCACTTTCAACATACATGTACAAATAGCAATGTATGGTTATTCCATTAAATTTAAAGCAAAAGTTTTATAAATTATGTTAATTATCATTTCCTGCGGTAGTTTTAGGGGAGATTGAAATAGTTAATAATATTGCTATAAAGAATGTTGTACTCCATGTTGAATTAATGCGTCCATTCATAAAACAGAACTTTGTCCAATATTCTAAAAATGATAATGATTATGTGATGATGTATTACTTTCTGAGTCATGCAAGTGTAAAGGTAGAAAACAAAGAAATTCTTATCTTTGTTGTTTGGTTGCTGTCTCATTGATTTATACCTCACATTCTGAATCTCCTCTTATTTGATTAAATCCAAGGAAATAGAGAACGACTAAGTTTCTTGTTCTGACTTAAGTCACATCTCCTCATGTTTACACATGTACAGCTTACTTTTATAAAACATAAACATAAACTTACACATATTAATTATAATTATTCAGATGAAAAAGGTGTTTACATATGTAATAATTTTATTACTTTTTATGAATCTGTTATATATAATTATTGACAATCAGCTTCTGTACACATTTGAAATTTTGAAGCCCTCAAATAGTTGAAGTTCTGTCAAATAATTATACCCCTGCTTAAAAAAAGTAGGGGTATATTGCTTTACATCTGTTAGTCCGTCCGTCCCATAAATATTTTTCCTTGCTTTTTTCTCAAGAACTATACACTACAATAATTTCTGAAATTTGGTTTCAGGGTCAACTATACTGTGTGATGCGTTTTCAGATTGATCCCTCAACAACTTCCTGTTTACCGAGCACTTACATATTTTTACACTATTAAGATTATCCACTTGCAGTGGGGGTATCATTAGTGAGTAGTAACTCACAGTTTCACTTGTTTCTTACAGTTATTACTTTTCCAGCTATGTATAAATACTCTAACTAAGCTCAAATCAGAAATTTGAATGTTTCTAAGCCAAAAAAAATACATGTTGCAAAATTCTACAGGAGGGGTGAGGGGTTAACATTTAAGGCACGTATAAATAATGTACTTTCCCAAAGCTTGGAGTCCTTATCTTAGATAATTAAAGCAGTGGGTGTACTATATTTGGTGTATGGAAGGATTTTTTTAATCAGGTTAACATGTACTAGTCAAATTATTATGAAGTCTTGGAAGGCTATTTAACATTTTTTGCTTCGAAGCCTTCCTGTCGATGTAAGATGTCAAAGAAAAAAAAGTATAATAGCCTTTCAAGACGTCTGTCACATGTCCATTGTCCTTGACCTCATTTTCATGGTTCAGTGACTACTTGAAAGTAAAGTTAAGATTTTTTGTAATGTTAATTTCTCTCTTATTATGAGTAATATGATAACTATATTTGGTATGTGCGTACCTTGCATGGTCCTCATGTCCGTCAGACAGTTTTCACTAGACCTCAAACTCATTTCATGGATCAGTGAACAAGGTTAAGTTTTGGTGGTCCAGTCCATATCTCAGATACTATAAGCAATAGGTCTAGTATATTTGGTGTGCGGAAGGACTGTAAAGTGTACATGTCCAGCTGCCAGGTGTCATCTGACCTTGACCTCATTTTCATGGTTCAGTGGCGACAGTTAAGTTTTTGTGTTTTGTCTGTTTTTCTTATACTGTATGCAATAGGTCTACTATGTTTGGTGTATGGAATGACTGTAAGGTGTCATCTGATCTTGACCTCATTTTCATGGTTCAGTGGTCAGAGTTACGTTTTTGATTGATTGATTGATTGTTGGTTGCTTAACGTCCAGTGGCAAATATTTCATGCATATTCAGGACGAGAACAATTTACCAATTAATACAATAGGTAGGTTCTGTAATAGGGGCTTTCGGGATTATGGTCGGAAAAATTTAGACTGCCACGGGAAATGAGGGTATATTGGATAGGGACAGAAATTTAGCCTTGCAACAGGTCACCTACGGACCCCTCAAAGAGTTGTTGCAAGGGTTCTTAACGTGCAAAGAGCGTGGCACTCTCTTTACACGAGGCATCGGATTTAACGTCCCCATTCTGACCGGACGTGGCTGCAAATTTGTACATCCCGCACAGCCAAACGGACGCCCCACTTTAGCAAGGGTTTTACTGCCGGTCGGAGGAAGACCAATGGTGACTATACTTCTATTCCCCAGTCACCCTTGGGGGGGAGTTACGTTTTTGAGTTTTGGTCTTTTTTCTAATACTATATGCAATAGGTCAACTATATTTGGTGTATGGAAATATTTTATGATGTACATGTCAGCCTCGCTGGTTTCATTTGACCTTGACCTTATTTTCATGGTTCATTGCTCAGTGTTAAGATTTTGTGTTTTTGGTCTGTTTTTCTTAACTATAAGCAATACATGTACATGTAGGTCAACTATATTTGTTGAATGGAAGAATTGTAATCTGTACATGTCTGCCTGGCATGGTAAATCTGACCTTGACCTCATTTTGATGGTTCATTGGTCAATGTGTTAAGTTTTCTTGGTTAAGTCTGTTTCTTAGAAACTATAAGCAATAGGTCAACTATATTTAGTGTATTGAAAGATTGTAAGGTGTACATGTATTTCTTGTTTGGTTTTTATGACCTTGACCTCATTTTCTTGGATCATGTTAAGTTTATTTGATAGTTGTAGTAAAGCTTTATATTTAGGACTATCAACATAATATAAATGATTAGTAAAGAAGGCGAGACATTTCAGCGTGTGCATACTAGTATAAGATTTACCGGCTGCATTACATTCTCTTAACTTAAGTTTGCCTCAACCAAATGTTATGAAACTTATGCACAATGCTTATTATCACAAAACACAGATCAAGTAGGAATATGGGTAGCATCAATTTTACTATTCTTGGGAAATGTCCCTTTATAAAGTTGTATGCAAGATGGGGCATTGTCTTTGTTCCCATGGACACATTCCCTATTCATCTTAAATTCAACGATTGAAAAACAGAAATTAATGTCTTACATGCATGAGACCTTTAAATTTCAAACTGAAGTACTAGTATCCCAAAGTAATTAGTATAAAGTCTGGAAGGGAAATTTTTCTTTGCATTATTTCAATAGTGCAAAACAAATTATTTTAAAGGAAAAATCAACTAGTTATTGTATGCCCTTAACTGTTTATTTAATTCATGTCATTCTCTTTCAGAATGCCCAGAAAAAGAAGAAAGTCATCAGTTTGTCAAAGAAGAAAGTACTATTTTGATAATTGGAAGAAACCAAAACTCGATATTGTTTCTGGCTTGACCCTTGCACCAGTAGATAAAATAATGAATGAGATTTTAGCTGAAGTTGAACATGTTGAAAGTGAAGGTGAAATTGATAATGTTATAAGTGTAGATAATAGTCAGTGTGAAGAATTTAAACAACTGAACGTTAACAATTTAAATCAACATGTTCGATGTGAGGTCGATAATGAAAAACTATCTGGCTGGACAGCAGTTGATAGGATAATGAACGATATTTTTATTCAAGCTAATGAAGGTGAACTGATCAATGAAGAAAATGGTGTGCACAATGAAGAAGGTGATGTGGAAAATAAAGACGGAGATGTGGACATTGCAGAAGGTGATGCAGACAATAACACAAGTGTAGAAGAATTATTGCATACTATCTTTGTCAACCAAAATGTACAGCATGAGGTCACTGCAGTGGCAACACAGACTGATTCTCCTTCATCAGAACTGTATGAATTTGAGCAATTAGTATGAAATCAGAACTAAGTGAAAATTATATACTTTATAAAGATTCAAATAGGATAAACATATTGGAGCCTTATCATGTTAAAGATAAAACTGACATTAAGATTAAACTCTCAGTGGTTATTGATGCCAACTTTCTACCAAGGATTTTCGTTCACAACAAAGAAATTGGGAAGGACAATAACATTTGGACCGGACTACCCACAGTGTACAACAGCATAGATTCTGTGCAAATACTGCTAGCAAGACTCCGCATGCTTTTTGTATGTGTTGGTAATCCAGATGAGCAATTTCAGTACATTACTCCAGTTGGCTCAGGAATTAGTGATGCATTTACGAATGAAATACGCTGTTATCGTGAAGGTGATTATGGTGCCACAAAGTGGGATACCGGTTACACATCAACTATACGTTCCGTCAAATGCCAAATGCTTGTTCAGGGTAGTCGTTGCTCGTCTTGTGCAGAAGACCGACGAATGTTGAGAAAAAGACAACAGAGAGCTGATGAGAAGAAAAGTACACCACCTGTGACTTTTGTTCATCGAACATATCAACATAAACACATGTCCAGAGAAAATCTAGTGACCAAAATTGAACAACAAAAAACCGAAATGAGAACTCTGTCTTCAGAAGTAGAAAAATTAAAAAGACAACTTCATAAACAAATATTGCAAAATGGTGTAACTTTCAACAATCCCAGCGTAGAAAACATTGAACTGAAAGACCTCATGTCAACATGTCAAAATGACTTTGAACAAGCCTTTCCAAATCCAAATAGCCTCCAACGATTGTTCTGGGAAAAGCAGATCAAATACAATACAGCAGGAAAGAACGGCATGCGTTGGCATCCCATGTTGATAAGATGGTGCTTGTTCATGAGAAGCAAAAGTGCGAAGGCATATGATTCTTTGAGGGACAGTGGTTTTATAAAGCTACCAAGTACAAGAACACTCTTTGATTACTCCCATTATACAAAGAGTGCTCTGGGTTTCCAACCAGATGTGATAAAGATGTTACATGATGAAGCAAGCAAGTTGGGTAAGAAACTAACTGTTTACATTACAATTTATTTTCTATAGGCGGTAGGATAACTGTCAAAATGAATAATTTTATGATGAAAACATCTTATAGTGACCAACTTATACAGCATTTCTGGACAGAGAAGAATAATTTAATCAGAATCAAGCCATAATATAAACCAGGATGTCATGTTATTAAAATCAGTCTTCCAGTTAATAAGAAATCTCCACTTCTGCTTGGGCATCTTTCTGTAGTCACCTTAAAGGTCAATAGAATAAATGTTACACCTGAATAATGTACATGTATCTGTCCTAATGCCTACATGTATTGAATTATATTTAGGAAACAGATAGGAATTAAAGAAAATAATGCAACAGTAGTCTGAATATAAATTTATTGCAATGCATATACATGTACAACTGTGTCCCGCAATAAACATTTAACAATGTTAAAGTAATTAAGTTACATGAATACTTCACCTGCACATTGGTACTGCATCTTTAAATACAATTAAAACCGAGTTGCTGTAAAACAGCTAACCAACAACACAACAAAAATACTGGCATTTTTATTTTAACCTTAAAGTCATGAAGGTCATACATGTGATGTTCAGTGTACATGTAAAATGTACTAAAATGTACCTATAAATATATAGCTATACAGTTGCGTTGATCAGGTTAGGCGCCAGAACTATGTCATGTATATGCTGCTTGAATTTTCTTGATTGTTTACAATTACATGTACGTACATGTACCTTAAAAATGGACATAAAATTTTAGGGTATCTAAGAGGTTTCTATAAAAAAACTGAGATGTGCCATGATTGCCAATGAGCATGATGAGACAACTCTTCACCAGAGTCTATATTCTGTGTCTTTATTTACCGGATATAAATATATACATCGTCAAGAAATTCAATGACTTCATTGACATTACTTTTATTCTATGAAGGGTTTCAATTTTTTTTCCAGCTATGTATGAAGACAACCATAAAAGCTTTGTTGGTATTTTATTTGACGAAATAAAGATACAGGAGGATTTAGTGTACGATAAACACACTGGAGAATTGATAGGATATTTATCTGGACTCCATTGGCAATGAAATTCTAAACTTGGAAAATCTTGTAGGAAACTGTAAAAAATCTCAACTTGCAAAATTTATGTTAGTGATTATGGTGAGAGGTGTGACCAGTAACTTGAAATTTCCCCTAGCTGGGTTCGCTACAAGCAGTATTACTGCTGCTTTTTATATCCTATCATTTGGAAGGCCGTTTCATTGGTAGAATGTGTGGCAAAGTTAAAAGTTTTATTTTGTACATGTGACGGAGCATCAGCCAACAGACGTTTTTTTCAACTTCACAAGATAGATAATTCTGAGGAACCCGTATATTTCACCATCAACCCACATGACAACAGCAGGAATTTGTATTTTATATCAGATGTCCCCCATTTAATTAAAACTGCCAGAAACTGTTTTAGCAACTCCTTCTCCCATAAAAACACCAGACGACTATGGAAAAATGTAAAAGACATCTCATGGATGCACATTGTGAGACTGTTTGAGGAACACTGTGAGTTGCAACTATATAGTCCCTGTCCAAAGTTGACAAGGAGGCACATTGACCTTACAGCATTCACCTATATGAAGGTAAATTTGGCCGCTCAAATTTTAAGTGGTAGTGTGGCCAATGCCTTAGAACATTTGTATGATGACAGTGTGTCAGAAACTGTTTTGTTTAATCGAAACTTCAATAAATTTTTCGATTGCCTCAATGTGAGAAATTTGTTAGAAGGACGTAACAAAAGGAATCCTGATTTGGAACCCTTCACAGGAGGTGATGATCCTCGACTAAATTGGTTAAAATCAACATTTTTGGATTATTTGAAGGAATGGAAGCAGTCAATCATGCAAAGACCAAACCTGACACTTTCACAGAAATTATCTATGCAACTAAGCGCACAAACTCTAGCCGGTGTAAAAATCAGTATAAATTCTATAACCGAATGTGTGAAATTTATGTTGGACCAAGGAGCAGATTTTGTATTAACTTACAACTTCAACCAGGACCCCCTGGAACAGCATTTCGGTCACTATAGACACAAGGGAGGAGCCAATAACAACCCCAGTGTTTATGAAGTAAGAAATACCATGACACAGTTACGTGCTGATGGAGCTCAAGCATTGAATCCCAAGCGTGGAAATATAACCAATGTTAACAATAATGAAAATGTTATCGACAACACCAAACTACCACGAAAACGTTAAATACAGAATATCTGAAATCCAGTAGAGATTAAGTAAATGCTGCAATGTATAAATGTAGAGATCATTGAAGAAAGACAACATTTGTTATGCTTAACATAAACTTTAATTGTAAGTCTATGTATCTAAAATTGCATTTTTTTTTTAAATTTGAAATGGCAACTCATAATCATATACATATCATGTACAAGCACATTGCAAATGTGTGATAACAACAAAGTTTATGAACATATAGTAATGAAAAGTCAATAAATAAGAATAAGCACTGCGATAAATGTAACTGATGTTTTTAACATTTCACACATATATATATACCCTGAAATGATACAGTTAAGTGATATGGTTTTCCTTCAAAACCTGTCTTAGGCTCAAAGACTTCTTTGATGTGACTTTGTCTTTTATCATTTTGTTTCTAATCACTTTGGCAGTAGAAAAACCACGGATTGTCAGAAATAGGTGAATGATGTCCTCCAAGATTAAAACGTAGTTGTCATAGTCAATACCCACAAAAATCTGCTCAGAGTAATATTTCACCATAAATGATTCCATAATCAGTTCTTTTAATTTATCATGTAGCAGGGATTTAGCATTTAGTTCTTGGTCTCCTAGATGCTTCCTTACTACTGTTTCAAATTCTCTGGTCAACAAATAAAAGTTGTCAGACGGTATTATCAAACCACCTCTGTCTTTCTTCTCTGTCCATTTGTTATATTTGCTTACAAAGGAATCAGTGGTTGATGTTGACTTCAGTTGCTCAATGCAGTTGATCTTCGAAGGTCATCTTTAAGATTTGAATAGCGTTTTTCACAAGAACGAATTATATACCCACAGATGTAAAACAAGATATTTTGATCATTCTCACTGAGCTCTGAGTGATTTACATTGGATAATTTATGTTCTTGGATTGTTTGTTGAGTAAGCAATTGGTTTATCAATTCCAACATAACAATTTGAATGAAATTTTTATTGTCCAGAGTAGTGAAACCATTTTGACCAAAGTGATCGGTGCATCCTTTGTCAATCGAAAAACTGAGTCTTATAGCATGAAACTTGGTAAAGAATAGCTCCCTGTCATGAGCCAAACTTAAGTTAGGATTTGAGTTAAATACCTCCTTGAACAGGTCATGGAAAAATGTCTTAACCTCACTGCTATTAGAAATGCTTTTAGCAATTTGAACGATTGTGGACTCACCAAAAATGTTGTACATAGGGTCCTCTTCAATAGATTTGAGAGTATTGTTGTAAGCAGAGTCGAAAATCGAGTCCAGTGTGACTGTTGTCATTGTAGATTGTTGACTCTTATCTAATTCAGTTGTAGTAATTTGGTCTTGAAGGACGTCACCATCTTGGATTTTGTGTTGAAAAGCTGTAAATAAAAAAAAAATCCTAGAATTCTCATGTGAAAGAATGAATTCAAATAATTAAAAACAAATAAAATGTTTCACATGATATGTACATGTATATAAATAACTGTATAGGAATATATTTTATTTGTAAACAGCAGCAGGTGGATTGTTGAGCATAATGGCCTGTTGTATAAATGAAGGAGTTTTTGAAGATTTTTTTTAATTATTTTAGGTGTTAGACAATGAATCAGCCAGAGTTCTTCATTATTAATTCCCCCAAGGGTGACTGGGGAATAGAAGTATGGTCACCATTGGTCTTCCTCCGACCGGCAGTAAAACCCTTGTCAAAGTGGGGCGTCCGTATGGCTGTGCGGGATGTACAAATTTGCAGCCACGTCCGGTCAGAATGGGGACGTTAAATCCGATGCCTCGTGTAAAGAGAGTGCCACGCTCTTTGCACGTTAAGAACCCTTGCAACAACTCTTTGAGGGGTCCGTAGGTGACCTGTTGCAAGGCTAAATTTCTGTCCCTATCCAATATACCCTCATTTCCCGTGGCAGTCTAAATTTCTCCGACCTTAATCCCTTAATCTATTACAGAACCTACCTATTGTATTTATTGTGAACTTGTTCTCGTCCTGAATATGCATGAAATATTTGCCACTGGACGTTAAGCAACCAACAATCAATCAATCATTATTAATTTGTTGTTTTCATACAAGTAGCTCTAGGTTAACATTATACAGATAATTTAATTTTACATTATTCACCAGTGGCTTCAAAAAGATTTACATCATTGCTTATTATAAGTCAAAATATTTTATTGTGTAATCTTGTTCATGTATATATGTTTTTATACGACTGCAAAAAAATTTGGCGGTCGTATATTGGTATGATGTTGGCGTCGTCGTCGTCCGAAGACACATTTGTTTTCGCACTCTAACTTTAGTTTAAGTGAATGGATCTCTATGAAATGTTACCATAAGGTTCAATACCACAAAAGGAAGGTTGGGATTGATTTTGGGGGTTATGGTACCAACAGTTAAGGAATTAGGGGCCAAAAATAAGCATTTTTCTAGTTTACAGACAATAACTTCTGTTCAAGTGTATGGATCTCTCTGGAATTTTACTGCAAGGTACCATACCACAAAAGGAAGGCTGAGATTGATTTTGGGGGTAATTGACCAAAATTTTAGGAATAAGGGGCCAAAAAGTGGCAAAAAACAAGCATTTTTCTAGTTTCAGGACAATAACTTGTGTGTAAGTGTATGGATCTTTATGAAATTGTACTACAAGGTTCCATATCTCAAAGGGAAGGCTGGGATTGATTTTGGGAGTGATGAATCATGTATAAGGGTGTTCAAAAAAAGGGGGGGTGATTTTTTTATCCGTTTTTTTTCTTTAAAATTTCGATTTTAAATTGGTTATTTCTGATTTATATATATAAAAGCAAATAATGATATGGTTTGAATAGGTACATTTTGTAAATTAAAATTTTTCAAGTTCCTGGACCACATTCATTCCGTGTCAGAAACCTATGCTGTGTCAAATGTTTAATCACAATCCAAATTCAGTGCTGTATCAAGGTTGAATGTTGTGTCCATACTTGCCCCAACTTTTCAGGGTTTAACCTCTGCAGTCGTATCAAGCTGCGCCCAGCGGAGCATTTTATTATTTTTCTTCATGTATGTACATTTTTTGGTTTTAATTATGGGCATTATTTATTGAGTGCTTGACACTTGTGTGTGAGATTTTTTCATTAAAGATGTATAAGTAACTTACAAAATTTACATTGACTACTAGGGAATGTCATGACAATATTGTTTAAATAGATGGTTCAATTTCATGGACATAAAAAATGTTGTTTTTTTTTTTTTTTGGTAAATTCTACATATTTACAAACTGCCATCATGGAATATTTTAAGTGCTTCAACTTGCACAATTAATTTGAATAAAAAATAAATGCCAACCGGGTAAAATTATTTTTGATGTACATTAGTGTACCAAACTTTGAGAATTTCAAGGGGTTTTCACTCATGTAATAATTTATAGAATTTTAATAATATATTAGAATGCTTTATACTTATACTGTTATTCCTGCATGTAAGACTTTAATACTTTCAGTGTTTCCCTGGCCCATTCAGAATGCTTCAGCACGATCAATTTTGTATGAATTTTTTTTGGCATCTTGTTTCAAAATTTTAAAATACGGTGTAGAACATGTAGAACACAGAAATACTTGTCCTACATCTAGTTTTGGTAGTTTTATCATATGTGATCTATGTATATTTTTTTAATTTGTATAATCATGATGATGACAAATACCATATGGAAATGTGTCAAGAAGCAATAAATTTTAAAGCTGATATTTGTACTTATTTGTCTAAATCTCGTACATGAAAAATGACTAAGTTGAAGCAATGAGACAACAACCCCCTAAAAAGAACACACATCTATATTAAAAACAAGATGTGGTATGATTGCTAATTAGACAAATCTTCACAGGAGACCAAATGACACAGAAATTAAAAAAAATATCAATAAAAAGATGAATAACAGTCCTCGAGGCACTACACATAAAATGAAAGAATGAGCAAAACAAACCAACCAAAAAGATATAGAATTCAAAGTTATGAGCAAATCTGACACTCCCTGACTGCAGAAACATAGGAAGCTGTATGACTAATGTAGTCTTTGGAATAACCTTTATTCATGTTGACAATTTTGGTAGCTGACTGGGATCCTGCTCACATGTTTAACCACACCACATTCTGTATGTATGTGCCTGTCCCAAGTCAGGAGCCTGTAATTCAGTGGTTGTCGTTTGTTGATGTATTACATATTTGTTTTTTATTCATAAATTAGGCCATTACTTCTCTCGTTTGAATTAATTTACATTTGTCATTTTGTGGCCTTGTAGAGGCTGACTATGCGATATGGGCTTTGCTCATTTGTTGAAGGCTGTACGGTGACCTATAATGTTGATTTCTGTGTCATTCAGTGTCTTGTGGAGATTTGTCTCATTGGCAATTATACCACATCTTTTGTATATCTGAAGAATGGTTTTTTGCTTATTGTTGAAGGATGCACATTGACCTATAATTGCTTATAAAATTATACATCTCCTTATTTTAAAGAGATAGAATTTCGAAAATGTTATTATTTAGCCTTGAACAATATTGATAGCAAGTAATTCTACAGCATTAGGTCGGCACATTTTTTATTCAATGTAGTTTTGCATTTTGTTAGTGGTGAAAGGATTTGTCATTTGTGTGATATTGGATAATAGTCAAATTAAGATCTCAAGACGACAAAAAGCAAAGTGGAGGTTATAAAGAATTTCAGTGTTTAGACTCTTAGAAATTTTAAGCATATAAAAGTTTAAATATAAAGCATGCCTTAAAAATATGCCGCACAACCCTGTTTCGACCTAAACTAGAAATGATTATCATGTGAACTTTCCATTCCATGATATTATTTTTACAAAAACTTTGTAAGCACATTTTTTTCATCAAAATGAGTTCCCTATGGCAGAATGTATTCGATTGAAGTCCTATATATTATAAAAGAATAATTTCTTTCTTGAGGTCATTTGAGTCCACAAATGTCCAGGAAATATGTTGACTCGGCAGGAATCTGAGACTATATATATATATTTGGACAAACAATACAAAAACATAACAAACCTTTTAAATTGCTCTTTCCGTGTTGTTTTGATGTATGACCACGAAAACCAGAGATTGTTTTTAACACTTTTTTGCAATCGGGACACATATATCCTGAACACAGAATGTCCTTTTTTGGCTTCTTGCATGCAGAGTCGGCAATAGTATCAGTGTCAGTATAATCACCAAGAAGATATGCTAGTTCAAAGTCGTCTAAATCATCATCCCACGATAAAAAATTGGACTTCGACATAATTTTACTTTCATGTGTAATGTGCAAAGTTTGGCAAAAGAATGAAGTTTTGCGTTAATAAGATTATAATCATTGCCAAATTTCAATTTTAGAATTAATTATCAATGCCGAAAAAGAAAGAAAATATTTCTCAATTTACGTTTATTTAAACTTTTACTTTTGATATATTCTTAAGCATCCAAGCTTGATAATATTTTCATTAATTAACTCATCACAAATCAGTAACCACCCAAGCTCAGAGCTTCTCTCATTTCCTTATGTATACATCGTCGGTCCTGTAATGTCTTTTACTGACTCCAACAATGATGTATTTAATTAATTTAATTAATAATTATCATTGATTGATGTAAACAAATATCTTCCATGGGATTTGAAGACCAAATCCAGCAGCGGATACAGCCATTTTTAAAAGTGGTGTATCTCATATCCCAATTCAAAAGCATTAAGGTTTAAAAAAAGAGGGGTCACAAATCCCGGAACCCCTCAAAAGTAACTTTAATTGT